AAGTACCCATCGCTGTCAGCGGATATCACTCGCTCTCATAAGCGATTGGTAATACCCATAGTGCACTGTACTTTGTACATCCAACCATGTTATTCTGCAGAACATCCTTGCTCGGAATCAGTGTCTATGTCGGAATGGTGGCAATGTTGAGCTGCTTGAAATCGCGAACGATACGCCACTTGCCGTTCGGCTGCCAGACACAATACGTGGGTGTCGATTGGGGATAATTGCTCTTACGCACTATTCCTACTTAGTGCTTCGCACGATGAAAAGCGTTGATAACATCGCACAGCTTCTTGGGCAGAGGCCATTGGCGGGTTACGCAGTATATGGTTCTCGAAACCAGGTCAATCTCATAACCTACACCTCGGTCCGGAGGTAGGACCTACAGCGGATCTTTGGAGACGACGTCTATACCAAAAAAGTACGGATCCGAGGGAGCCTTCAGGATCGATGGTCCACTTCGTGCGTTCAGCACCCTCCTGGTGTCCTCCGAGACAGCTTCATCCAGAAGCAACGACGACTTTATTTCCTCGTTCGGGCGAATAATGACCACCTCGGCTAAATTGCCTGCCCTCAAGATCCCGCTGAATCCTTCGAAGGTCATCTCGTTCAGCTCAAGAAGAGCAATCACCGCGGGAATAGCCTCGAGGATGACGTCGCCGTCTTCCTGTCATACCGTTGACAAGGGTATATAGCTGTGCGCTTTTGTCTACGATAGACACATTTGGGTCAGGGTCGCCGCTTTGCATCTTGTAGATAACATACGGCTTCGCCGTCTCCTTTCTATAAAGGTTTTACGTCTCATCGAGGCACTCCCTGCTTCATCGGAGCCTTGATGTTATTGACAACATCCGACAAAGAACTGCTACTTCCGCAGTCTTCATCCAGTGAATAACACGCCACTCCCCGCGCATCAGAAAAGCCTTGCCCAGGACGCCTCGGACCTCGTCCGACCATTCCATTCTTGGCATGCAGCACCCGCTTCGAAACGTGAGCAGTGCTCAGTGGATTACCTGGTACTCCACGCACATCACAAGGGCCTCGCCCTCAATGCCTCGGCACTTGGCCGACTATCCCACTCTTGGCATGTAGCGCCTGCTCTAATACTTGAGCAGTGCTCAGTGGATTACGTGCCACTCCACGTTCAACCCGCGAGCCATACTCACAACACTTGTCTAACAGCTTTTGTGTTTGACAATTCGGATACCCCGATCTCCAAAACGTTGACCGTCTCGGTCCAGTGCCCGCGCCAATAGTGTTTTCGCCTACTAGCAGAGGTGGGCTCATAACTTACAAAAGCTCCACCAGGAGACGTGCGCGTAGCGCCCAAGGTCTTCGACCTCCAGTCAAATTATGGCTGTTGGTGTGCCAACCATGCCATACCAAGGATGAGGCATACCGTGCATCCAAGTCTAAGACAAAGCAGCATTCCACGCTATCAAAGTCAAGAAACTTGACACCGAGGTGCACAAGGACCTTCGGGCCCCGTGACACATGATCCGTCGCTAAGCAAACAGTGACGATGTCACTCAACCGCGCCTGCAGCGCCTCAGCACACAACTGTCTTCCTTCCATCGAGGAGATTTATACATAATTGCCCAAAGCCCCGGAGTCGGTCAGGATCTTCCGTGGCTTCTCAAAGCCCTACACGGTCGTCTCTAGGGCCAGCAAGCCCGGCTGGCATACACGATCCGTGCTCAAAAGCACGGAGTTCTTTGGGGCTGGGCCCTGCTAACTCTATTTCCTTGAGATTCAACAGAACTCCGTTCTTCCCCGGTAGATCGCCCCGCATCAAAAGGGCATTGTCGTTTCCCCACGTCGAACCAGAAGACAGGTAAGAAGCGGTCGACGGTTTGATGATCCTTGACGCGCCTTGTGCAGGGCCAGCCAATCCGAAGGTGACGAGTGTCTCCACATCCAAAACGCCGTTGAATGTTTACACGCTGCTCGGCAGTCCGAAGCTCTGTCTCCTCATCATCAGCATAGTCGGCTCAGGCCCGCCCGACGAGCCGCTAGAATGTGCATTCCAACCAATTTTTGTCGACCTGCGGTAAATGTGGCATTGAATACCGAACTACTTCTCCAAAAAAAGACGGGTGCACACGGAACACTTTCATTCTGGCCACACCAGAGCGGAGGCCCTCTATAAAGACGGTCACTGTGACCGCTTCGGAAGAAGATCGGCTGCCATACTGGCTATGAGTGTACGCAAATCTTGGACAAAGTCCACCAATTCCTTCTTACCTTGTCGGGCAGCAAGGAGCACGCGATACGCCTGGTTCGGCGGCGAGAACACCAGTGAAAGCTGCAGCTTTAGCTCCGTCCAGGAGGGAAACGCCGCTTCGACCGAAATGCCGCACATCAGTGCCCATTCTTACGCTCGACCACCGAGCTTGGAGACAGCTGGCGCCACGCGCTGCTACTTGATCTAAAGCATTGCGGACGCCATGGCTATCTTATCCTCTCTCACCCAGAGCAGGAGATATCTTACCTTTGAAGAACTTAACACTCACCATGAGCGGCTTGGGACGGGAGGAGTCATCCGTCGTCGACAGTGGCGCATCATAGACGCAGTCAACGCAGATATCTTCTGCTGTAGGTGCTCTAGCAGAGCATTTTCGAAGAGCAAAAAGCCTCTAGGCGCGCTCTGATCGCTTCAAGTCCGTGCGAAGCAAGGTGTTGCACGCCCTCAGGGCCGGTCAGGGACAACAGCTATTTAAGCCCGTTATGCATGCGTCAGGGCAAAAAAGCGAACTGCTTCATCTTCATAGACAGTCAGTCGTAACGACTCAAATGTAGATTGACTACAAATACTACCAGGTGCATCGGGGCTGCCGTAGCTCTTTCGCTTAGAGGAAGCTTGGTTGAAGTCGGCGACCTTTGTTCTCTACTTAGAACCATTACGAGTGTAGCGGATTGCAATCCACTTACTTCAAGATTTTTACAGTCTCAACCCAAGGATAGTTAAATATTCCGTTTTGAAACGTTAACTGTATTTCTCGGCTTTGTTTGCAGCAAATATTTAAATTTATAGGTTTCCATATCTATATAGTAAAACTTGAAGCTACTGGCAGTCCAGCCACGTGATGGCTTCTTGTTTAAGTGTGGCCACACCATTGTGTGGTCATACCATCTTGTGTGACCCATATCCCTCATACCAGGGCACGTGAAACCCGTTACACTCACTCTACCAACTTATGGGATTTCAAGGTCCAATTTGGCAAGATTGGCTTGACACCATTGCCACTTGCAAATTTACGCATTGACTATATCCCTCCAGAAGATGAGACCAAAATCCAGCGCAACCTGCTTTACATCAGCGAGTCTGTTTAGGCCCTTTTTAAAGCTATAGGCTTCATTGGTAGCTGCTCACGGAGATAAGCAGTGCTATTTACAACGGTGGTTAGCATCTTGCACGCCTTTGCAATTCACGAAAGTAAATGCCGCTCTAGTTTTAGTCTGCTTCACTGAAGCTGGCTTGTAAACGCTCAAAACACTGGTGTGGCATTTCCGGTGCTCGAACTCAGTGTGATAATCTTCGGCGCTACGCCAGCGATTAGAGGCTTCATAAAGAGTATGGAATCACCCGACTTCTGATGATCTAGGCGCATGCGGCACATCTGAGGAGTAGTTAAAAAAACGTTCGCAGCGCGACGTCTAAACTTTCATTTCTGTTTTAAGACCAACGACCCGTATGCATGGACATGCAGGGGATAGGCCTCGGCGCGGTTGGCGACTTCTGATGGATTATATAAGTCATCACCACGTGATGTAGTCCTTAAAAGTCGTATAGAATCTTGCGCTTTAAGATGCGCAAGCTTGAATCGCTGAGCTTGTAGTCATCGTCAGCTTGCTGCGAGATTCCAATGGACTTACCGCAGTAGGTAGCAGACACAAGTGTGCAACTGTTGTAGAGGTGAAAAGAAGTAGAGAATGCCTCAACTTCGGAGAAATTCTCGCAGACAGCTTCGTCGTTTATCTCTGGGTAAAAGTCAAGGTGCCGCGCCGGGACTTGAACTCTTCTGATGACCGGTATGATTGGAAATACAACGGCTCCCCACTGAGCATAACTTTGAGATCGTCGACCGCGTCTATCCTAGAAGCTCGTTTTATGACCCGGTGTGGGAAAAGCTAAGAAAAGCAAGCCCCATCGTATGCATAGTGGGAGAAGAGAGTGCTTGTGGAGCTTAACTGTTGCCTAATTTCTGAAAGACAATATGAGTGCTCTTGGTGGGGGGTGTAACGGCGAATTGTGGTGAGTATAGTCGTTACGCTGTTGATCCTTGGTCATAGATCTAGACCCGGCAATACTGTGGTTTACGAGAAAGTATTAAGACAAGTATATAGGTACGGATGAGGGCGATGATATCTGGAAAGAGGTCTATCCTCAGAACAAAATTTCATGGAAAAAAGTAAATCAGATATTTGTGGTTGATTTTAAACTTTACTTTATTACGCATATGTCACTCTTATCAAACTGGGGTATCTTGGTATTTGAGAGGCTCTCGGTCTCGCTCGTGAGTGGAGCGTACGAATCGATCCTGTGTGAATAGGTAAGTTGAGTCTGTGTATGCATGGTGCACGGTTTCCCGTGGTACACTAATATTTCCGTGAACCATAGAAGTTTGACATTTTGCTACAAATTCATAGGTGAAAACCGTATATTGGAGCCTAGTGAAAGTATTTGATGTGGCAATTTGATAATCGCGATCGCAGCCGAGGTCGAAGGGGCAGTTCGGCCTCTTTCTGCGCCACTTACTGTCGTCTTGTCGGCGTGACGTACACTTAAAGCACTACCGGATGAACGACATTCACGCTCTAGCACCTCACAGAGCTCCGACTCTATCAGCGGGTGAGCAAGTCAGTAGTTTTCATCGTTTAGATTTAAACCTCCGCTTCGTCTCGCTGTTTGCTTTCATTGAGCGCACCCTAGGAACGCCACACCCTCTGTTTTTCACGCCAAGATCCACGCGTACCATTATTTAAGTCGATAGCTGATGCACGCCACAATCCATAGCACCCAAAGTGGAGGAAGCCCAGTTACGGAGGACGAGAAGTCTATGTCGCCCTTCTCGTCGTCATTCTCCTCCTCTACAAACGGTGCTAGCTTTGTACAGTTGCTACAACACGCTGCACAGATTGGAGATGTCAAGCAGATTACAAAGCTTATTCAAACAACACGTCCAAGCGTCTCTTCTTCTTCGTCTAGTGTTAATATTCCCAAAAATGATTTGTCATTAAACTCCTGGCTTGATGCTGCCGATGAAGACGGCTTTACAGCACTGCATTTTGCATGTATTGGTGGTCATGGTGCTGTCGTACAGGAATTGCTGCTGGCTGGAGCAAACACGGAATGTGCAACTTCTGAAGGATTTACGGCGCTGATGTTTGCCGCACGGACTGGGTCACTTTCAATAGTACAAACGCTCGTTTCGCTTGACGCAAATATCATGGCTTGCGACGTCGACGGCAATAACGCTGCAGTTATCGCCGAGCTGAACGAGCATGCTATGGTGGCTAAATTCCTACAGCAGCAGATGTTACTTCTGGAAAACTTGTCGAATAAATCGCCTAGTTTATCTTCCTCGAATAAATGCGAAGAAGAGAAAGATCATAGACCTCTGTCGTTCCAAAATTTCCCGGCTTGTTCCAGCGAATTTTTATTAGGTGAAGACTGCGGACTTAACACTAAAAGCAGTGAAGATTCGTCGACGTGCTCGTCACCGCAACAGCTCGTAGGGAATTTTTATTCGAATGATGATGTGATAACCACAAGGAATGCCGATGGCGCCACGCCGTTACATGTTGCGGCTATGCACGGACAACTGGAAACTGTCAAGGTGCTTTTAGCTCGCGGCGCTCGTTTGTCGGCTGCTTTACCGAGCGGTACGAATGGATTGCACCTAGCATCGGCTTCGGGCTTTGTTGATGTGGCCTCATTTTTGATAGATCAAGGACTACCAGTTGATGGGCCTACCAAATATGGCTATACACCGCTCCATGAAGCTGCCTATAAAGGACATGTCGAAGTGGCTAAGCTGCTGCTGAAATGTGGTGCTAATGTGAATGCAGCAACTGTTCATGGCACAACACCCTTACATCGAGCAGCTGAGAATGGTCATGTACAAATTGCAGAATTACTTATCGCACACGGAGCACACATTGATGCTACAACATCAAATTTTTTTGCCACTACTGGGGAGAGTAAGACTGTGGGCCTCAATACACGCCGGCGACAACATCAAAGGCGCACAAAAGTCGTCGAAGTAGAAAATGAAGGAAAGTCGGATTTTAATGAAGTCCATGCGGAGGAACCGCGAACGATGGATGAGCTCGAGAAAGCGCTTTCGGCTTGTAGATCTCACCTGGTTGCACTATGCCAAGCAGCTAAAAACGATCGCTTGGATATAGTCCAATATATACTGGCACGGGGTACAATTGGTACCGAGGACCTTGTATTGCTCGAGCCTTCAAAACACCCACTTATCCTAGCTGCTCAACGCGGCCATTTGGAGATCGTCCGCTGCCTGCTCGCTTATGACGCATGTACGTCCAGTTTGCCTGACGCAGCGTCTTGCATATTGTGTCGTGCAGCGGAGCACGGCTATCTACAAATGGTGGAGCATGCTTTGCTTCGTGGGGCTAACGTCGAGGCCGTCGGTGGGAAGATACAAGCAACGCCGTTGGTACTGGCATCTCGGCGGGGAAACTTGGCCGTCGTTCTCCACCTTTTGTGGAGTGGTGCGAAAATTGACGCAGCCGCAGCCTCCACAGGCTACACGGCGTTGCATTATGCATCCAAACATGGACATCTTACGGTGGTAAATGCCTTGTTGCTCAATGGGGCTAATGTTGATGCTGTGTGTGTTCAGCGCCGCTCATCGCCATTGCACTTAGCTGTCGAATCGGGCTATCAAGATGTCGTACGCTGTCTTTTGTCTTTTAATGCGAGTGTTGATGCGGAAAAGCATCCGAGCACTATGACAGCGCTACACATTGCCGCCGAGAGAGGGCATTCAGACGTGGTACGTGAGCTATTGACACATAATGCACGACTTGAAGCACCGGCGCAGAACAATTTGCGTGCATTATTCATCGCTGCGTATTGCGGTCATAAAGACGTTGTTGAGCTCCTGCTGGACCATGGGGCAGAGCTGGAAGCGTTGTCAGGCACGAACGAGGCCACACCTCTACGTGGTGCTGTCTCAAAAGGCCATACAGACGTTGTCCAGCTACTACTGGCTCGTGGTGCCGATGCGAATGCCACGCAGGTTACCGATGGAACAACAAGCTTGCATAGTGCGGCTGCTAATGATTTTGGCTATATCATAAAGATTCTTGTCGCTGCTGGAGCTGATCCCGATCGGGAAGATCGACAAGGGCGTACGCCTATCCGATACGCTACATCGGATGTCGTTCGTCTCAAACTGCGACTTGCACTTCTGAAGTCTCAGTGGCAGAGGCAGGATGGGGGACGCGGTCAAGAATTTTAGTATGAACACATGTCAAAGCATGTACCAAAGACCTATTTGATTTTGGACCTATTTAAAACAAAATAGCCATACACTCCACACCAACACTTTTGTTATGCAGTCTGCCATTCATGTTTACCTACTATCCACATTGTGGCTTCAGAATGTGTTAAATGCAACCAATGTTTATTCTATCACAATTCTGACCCAAACTCGTCTGTTTCAACATGGACCTGACCAATTTGTTTATTGAATATTCGGATCCACACTCATCTGTCACCACTTAGCGACCCTGGCGCTGGCGCGGTGCACACTTAATAATGTCGTCTACTCTGAGGATCATCTCGGCAGCTTCAGCAGCCGAAAAAAGCACTTGTTTTTTACTTTTTAAGGCCTCCCGAATGCCTAAAGTTTCCATATCGCCCACACAACCAGTGCGCATGTCAAGCCCGGCTGTTGTCTCACCACGGTGGTGTGCCGCACGCAATTGAGTCACCAATTCCGTGCTGTCAAATCCGCCATTGTCGGCAATAATACTCGGCAGCTGGCGCAGCGCACGAGCGAAGGCTTCCATAGCCAGCGCTTTCTTGCCCGGTACCGATAGGGCTTTTAAATCAATTGCTTGAGCCATCAACACCTCAGTACAGCCACCTCCCATAACCGTTTGTGAGTGTTTCACCGTCTGAGTCAACACAGCCAATGCATCATGCAGCGACCGTTCAGCCTCGTCCAAAAGGTGCGTACTGGCACCACGCAAAACAACAGAACAAGCTGATCCAGTCTTGACACCCGAAAAGCGCAACATACGATCTTCACCGATAATGATTTCTTCAATAAGCTTGCACTCTCCAAGTTGCACTGCATTTGGATTGTCGAACGTAGACGCAATTTCACCACCCGTGACGGCCGCCAGATGCTCAATACCATCAAAGTCGGCGTGTTCGATGGCCATAATACCTTTTTCAGTAAAGATCTGCTCGGGGTAATTGTAAATGAGTTGACGGTTCACAAAGCAGTTAATGCCGAAGCTAGCAATCTTTTCAACCTTTGCCTTCATTTTTGCCTTTTCGGCTTCTTCAATGGCCGATACTTTGTCCATCGAGTCTACCTTTACGCGAGCGCCGTAAATTTTTATTTTATCTGTGTCCATACCTGTGTTTGCCACAAGAATTCTAGCATTTTCAACGCGCTTAGGCTGGCCCACACCAATCTTTTTGTCCAGGATAAAACCCTCGTCTAAGTATGAGTCGCGCAGTGAGCCACCTGCCTTCTTGATTATTTGGATGTAATCCAAATTGTTCGAGCCACGCAAACGAAGTACAGCATCAACAGCAAGTTTGGCAAAATGGTCCTTTTCATACGTTAGTAGCTTGGAGCTGAGGGTCGTGCGCGCAATGTTCATGAGATCCTCGCGAAATTTATCGGCATCCTTCGAATTGTCGCTAGCTGAGGCCACAAGTGCGTCGTTTGCCGAAGCAAGAGCAATGCGCCAGCCGTCAATAATGGTTTGTGGGTGAATACGCTGGTCGATAAGCTTCTCAGCTTCGCGCAATAACTCACCGCACAGCACAGCAACGCTCGTAGTCCCGTCGCCCACCTCCTCGTCCTGGGTCTTGGCAATGTCAACAAGAACCTTAGCAGCTGCATTATCCACGTAAACGCTGCGCAGGATAGTCGCGCCATCGTTGGTGACCGAGATGCTTTTGTCTGGGCCGTCCATGGACTGCAGGATCTTGTCCATGCCTTTTGGGCCTAGTGTCGTCTTGACCATGTCAGCAATAGCAATGGCTCCTACAAACGACGACATACGGGCACTCTCACCCTTCTCAACCTGTGACTCTGGGTCTAAAACAGCCTGCTGCATGGCGCCGATTTCAAAGAAGGAAGTAGCGATGAGCTATGGTCGATATCTTCTCCCCACAACAAATTGTGAAAAAGAATATTTGATTGTTGTAGGCGGTGGGTTTATACATAAAGCTAGGAAATATCTATTTAATGGGATAATGATTTTGCGTTTATAAACTGCGTAAACTAGCAAACATAAAATGTATAAAATGTTTTAGACATTGAGTCCCGACCAACCGTTGGTAACGATCTGGGCATCGTCGCGGGGTCCACGGCGGGGTGCAGGATACGTTCGAAATAGTTTTTAACGATGAAATAGGACACCTAGTCCAAGACTTGTGCAGCAGGTAGGCCAAGCGCAATGAGCGCCTTCTCCTTGGACAACAGCCAGGCCGTGTATTGCCGGAGCTTTAGGAACTTTGCCGGTCTCAAGGGGCCCAGCTCGTCTACTGCAGGCTTAAGAAATCAAAACGCAGTGATTACGGTGTCATCGTCTGTAGTTGCTCGCCGCGCTGTTGTGGATCTCCTACATATCGATGCGTGTAGTCCCCAGGAGCAAAACGTGCGCATAAATTACCTCGTGAGCGCTTTTTCAATACTCAGAAAGTCACTTCCCACGATTACCGTTTGCGCTTGGAGCAGCAGCGGTGGGATAGAAGAGACGCGTCTGCAAAAACCACTGTATACGTTCAAAGACTCCGCCAGAGCGGGATCGTAGAGTAGCTTAAGTCAGCCCACATAGAACACTGGATGTGTAACAGGGTCACAAAAGATGGTGTGATAATACAATGGTATGGGTGATATGAGAAGGTCTGACCACACGATGGTTTGGCAACCCTTAAACAGCAAGGCAGTACGTGGCTGGAACAGACAATAGTTACTTATTAAATTAGGGTTTACTAAATAGATAGGAGAACCTATGAATTTTAGATATAGGCGGCTTTGCCGCAGATAAAACCGAGAAATGCAGTTTATATTTTGAATAGAAGATTAATTATTCTTGAGATAAGGTGGGCTCTTGGAGTAAGTGGATTGCGATCCGCTACACTCATACTGGTTCTACGTATAGAACGAAGGTCACCAACCTAAACCAGGCTTCCTCCGAGCGAAAAAGCAACGGCAGCCCCGCTGCTCTTGGTAGAACTTGTAATCAATCTACACCTGAGTCGTTAAGACTAACACTCTTTGAGGATGGGGCAGTTCTACTATTTGCCCCGGGGCATGCAGGACGGACTTAAAAAGCTGATGTCTCTGCTTGGCCCAGAGGGCGTGGAGCACCTCGCTGCGCAAGGGCCCGAGGCCATAATCGCGCGCCTAGAGGCGTTTTCAAGGTATGAAAATGCTCTGTAAGAGTACTTACAGCGGCAGAAGCTGTAAGCGTCGACTGCGTCTATGACGCCACCGTCGACGACGGATGATTCATTCCGATTCAGGCCTCTCATGGTGAGCGTTAAGACCTTCAGGGGAAAGGATGGGGAGAATCTTCTACTCTGGGTGAGAGAAGCCGATGTGGCTATCACATCCGCCATCTTCCAGAATGAGCAACAGCGCGTGACGCTAGTCATCTCCAAGCTCGGAGGCCGAGCGCAAGAATAAGCCTAACGTGCGGTGCTTCGGTTGAGGTTGCGCTCCTCTCCTGGAAGGAGCTGAAATGTCAGCTTCTGCGAGTGTTCTTGCCGCCTAATCAAGCAAATCGTGCGGGATCGCGTTTCCTTGCTTTCCGACAGTGCAAAAAAGAATTAATGGACTTTGACCAAGGGTGAAGAACACTCATTGCCGTGATGGTAGCAGATCCTCTTCCCGAGGCGGTCGTAGTGACCGTCTTTATTGGATGGTATCCGCACTGGCGTGGCCAGGATGGAAGTATTCCGTATGCATCCGTCTGCTTTCGAAGAAGCGGTGAATATGACACTGAATGCCGCATTCAACTTTAGGTCGGTTGATGTGCACCCTCGAGCGGGCATGAGCCAATGGATCTCCGCTATGCTGACAAGTAGGAGGTAAAGCTATGAGCTGCCGAGCAGCGTGTAAATACTTGACGGTGTTTTGTCTGTGGAGACACCCGTCACCTCTTCTCTTTTTGGAGACAATGTCCTGAATTACCGAAGGATATTACGGATCCGACGGATCCGTCAAGACCGACGATCCACTTCGTGCGTTCAGCCCCTATTGGTGTCCTCCCGTACAGCTTTACCCAGAAGCGACGACGAATTGATCTCCATTCTCGTATAATGACCACTTCGGCTAAGTCGCCTGCCTTCAGGACACTGCTGGACTCTTCAAAGGACATTTTGGTCAGCTTAAGAAGAGCATCGAGCTTCATGGGTAACGTCGCCGTCTTCCTCCCCCGTTACATCGCTGATGAGAGTGTATAGCTGTGCGCTATCATATACGGTAGACACACCCTGAGTCAGCGTCGACGTTCTGCGTCTTGCAGATAAAAAGTGACGTCGCTGTTGCGTCTCCACGGAGGTCTTATGTCTCGACGAGATCAGTGGGAACATGTACTCTCTGCTTCACCGGAGCCTTGATATTATTAACAGCATTCGGCGAAGAGCTGCTATTTCCGCCGTTTTCGACCAGTGGATAACGTGCCACTCCACGCAAATCTGGAGGGCCTTGCCCAAGATGCTTCAGGCCTCGTCCGACTATGCCACTCTTGGCATGCAGCAACTGCTTCAAAACGTGAGCAGTGCTCAGTGCATTACGTGCCACTCCACGAGCATCACTATGGCCTCAACCTTGATGCCTCGGGTCTGGTCGGGCCATGCCACTCTTGGCCTGCAGCACCTGCTTCGTAACGAGAAAGGGCTTAGTGGGTTACGTACCACTCAACGTGCATCCCTGGGGTCTCGCCCTCGATGTCTCGGCCCATGGTCCACCATGCCACGCTTGGCATGCAGCAACCGCGCCTTTACTTGAGCAGCGCTCAGTAAGTTACGTGCTACTCCACCTTCACCCGCGAGCATTGCTCAGGACTCTTGTCCAGTACACCCTTGGTGTTTGACAGCTCAATTACTCCGAACTCCAGCACGTTGACCGTCCCGGCCCAGTGCCTGTACCAATAGCGCTTATGCTTCCTAGCAGGGGTGGGTTACTGATTAAAGCTGAACCAGGAGACGTGCGCGTACTTTGACCTCCAGTCGATCCATAGCTCATGGCTTTTCAGCCATGCCATACATTGATTCCAATTTTAAAACCAGGGAGCGTGTCACGCTATAAAAGTCAAGAAACTTGACAACGAGGTCCACAGGGACCCTCGGCACCGTGATACAAGTCCTCGTCGCTGTCATAATGGTGTCACTCAACCAAGCTTCTAGCGCCTTAATATACAGCTGACTTCCTTCAATCGTGGATATTTGCCCAACGCCCTAGATCGATAGGGATCTTCCATGGATTCTCATAGCCCTTCACGGTCGCCTTTACGACCAGAAGACCCGGCTTGTATACACGTTCCGTGTCCAAGAGTACGATGTTTTTTCGGGGCTGGGCCCTACCTCTTGGAGGCACAACAGGACTCAGTTCTTCCCCAGTAGGGCGCCGCCCCGCGCCTACTGGGTTTTCTATTTTTCCTGCGAAACTAGACTGATTACAAGCGAGACGTCGGTTCAACGAACGCTGACAAGGGACAAATAGTCCGAAGGTGACGGGTGTCTTACAGAAAAAAATGTCGTGTGTTTACACGCTGCTCGGCCGCTCGGAGCTCTCCGTCTTATTTCTCAGCATAGCTGAGATCCATTGGCTCAGGCCTGCTTGACTAGCTCTGAGGGTATGCATTCCGACCAAGTCGTGCCGACTTAAAGTTGAGTACGGCATTCAATGCCACATTCGTCGCTTCTTCAAAGGAAGACGGATGCACACGGAAGACTTTTATTCTGGTCACGCCAGTACGAGGCCCCCCATAAAGACGGTCATTGTGACCGCCTCGGGTAGAGGTTCGGCTGCTATCCCGACAATAGAGTACGCAACTCTAGGACAAAGTCCACCGATTTCTTGTTGCCTTGTCGGGCGACAGAAAAACGCGATTGCACGCAATAGGCCTGACTAGGTGGCGTCAACACTCCTAATAACTGCAGCAACAGCTGTTTTAAACCACAAGATCGCACGTCAGTGCCCATTCCAGCTCTCGACTACCGAGCTTATAGATAGCTAGCACCATGAGCTGTTGCTCATTCAGGAGCATGGCCGATGCCGTAGCCATCTTTGCCTCTCTCATCTAGAGCAGGAGATTTGCTCCATCATCACGCTCGAAGGTCTTCACGCAAGCCTGGATCGAGAGGAGTCAACTGTCGTCGACGATGGCGTCATGGACGCAGTCGAATCCGACATCTTCTGCTGTAAATGCTCTAGCAGAGCATTTCCTTATTTGAAAACGACTCTTGGGGCGTGCTTATACTTCAGGTCCTTGCGAAGCGAGAAGTTGCATGACCAAGTAGGGATATCAGCTGTTTGAGCCCGTCCTGCATGCCCTAGTGCAAATAGGAGAATAAATTCATCCGCACAAAGGATCAGTCGTAACGACTCAGCTGTAGATCGACTACAAGTGCTACCAAGTGTAGTGGGGCTGCCGTAGCGCTGTGCTTAGAGGTAGCAAAGCTAAGGTCGCTGACCTTACGTTCTATACCAGAACCAGTATGAGTGTGGCATCGCAATCCGTTAGCTTCAAGAGTACCCAAAACCTTAACCCAAGGCAAATGCACTCTTCTGTTCAGGATTAAAACTATGTTTTGTGTGTGTGTTTTTTTTTGCGGCAGAGCCGCCTATATCTCAATCTATTGTTTTTTTCTAGTTAAATAGGAAAACAAATTGAAATGCATGACTACGGGCAGTTTCTGTACATAGTGGCTTCTTGTTAAGGTGTCACCGCACCATTGTGACGTCACATCATCTTGTGTGTCCCACTCCTTTATACCAGGGTACGTGTACCCTGGAATAAAATACGCCGGAAAATCTTTGTCTATATAGGTATCGTACATTTTCGCACGCAGTAGACCTGTTTCATTCAGAAAGCGAGACATT